CTCTCGCCACAATATCGGAGCCCAAGCTAAGAGCCTTCACTTGGAGGTCTATCATTTGCAGGTTTGGGATACCAAAGGTCCTCATCACCGACAATGGCAGGCAATTTGACAACCAACAGTTTAGAAACTTTTGCTCAAACCTTGGGATTGATCACCGTCTGACATCAGTTTCGCATCCTCAGAGCAATGGTCTGGCCGAGGTAACAAATCGAATCATATTGCAAGACCTCCGAACAAGAATAAGCGATGCTAGGGGTTCTTGGTCCGACGAGCTGCCTTCTATACTTTGGACATATAGAACAACTCATAGGACAACCACAGGAGAAACCCCTTTTATGTTAGCCTATGGCATTGAAGCAATGGTCCCGGTGGAAATTAGACTGCCAAGCCATAGGAGGCTCATGCCAGAAACCTCGGAGCATACAACTGAACATCTTGATCTCTTGGAAGAAGTACGGGAGCAAGCCGCTATAAAAGTGGCCTCTTACCAAACTAAGACAGCAAAACATTTTAATAGCAAAGTCAAGGCTCGAAGGTTTAGAGCTGGCGATTTGGTCTTGAGGAGGGCCGAAGCAGTAGGCCACCCCCTAGGGAAGCTCGGGCCCATCTGGGAAGGGTCCTTTGAGGTCATACGACAGGTTCGCAAAGGAGCATACAGCCTAAGAGACACTTCGGGTAGACCTCTTCCGAGGCCCTGGAATGCCGACAATCTAAAAATATATTACAAGTAACATTCCCGACGCCTTTTAGGAGATTTTCTTTTTCTACATGTTATTTTTGGTTCTTCGGGCCTGCGTGTCCTTGCATTTTATTTCTAGTTTAGCGGGCCTGCGTGCCCATGCATGTTTTCCGTTTTCTTTTGTAATGAACTACGTTTGGCTTGATCCCGTTTGGGTACGTAGGCAGCTTGGATACAATATAAATTCAAGTCCAGTCCAAACAATTAATAAATCCAAACCCCGGGTATAACAGCCCGATAGTTTGCTTTGCGTCCAGCAAGCCACCTAAAGCCTTGCCCCGAGCAAGCATGTAAGCATTGTCCTTGACAAGCCAATGTAAGCCTAGCCCTCGAGCAATCCCCCGAGCAAGCATGTAAGCCTTGTCCTTGACAAGCCAATGTAAGCCTAGCCCTCGAGCAATCCCCCTTAAGCCTTGTCCTTGACAAGCCAATGTAAGCCTTGCCCTCGAGCAAGCCGTCTAAAGCCTTGCCTCGAGCAAGCACCAAAATCTTGGAGCTCATAATCAGCACATCAAAATAGTGCAGTACAAGTATAAATCCCGAGGACATACATCCCGACCATATATCCTTGTATTTTTGTCCAAGGCTGGAAAATGAAAGCTCGGGATAAACTTATGTACAGAGGTCGGTCACAATTCTTCGAATACCCCGAGGTTACCACCCATCGTGATTAGTCCTCAAGGTAATTCAATATAAACATCGGGACAGTTTTACCGTCAAGGTGTTGAACTATTCGCTATTGTCCCCGGCATTATGACTTGCTTAAAAATCAAATTGTTTTTTTTCTCAATCGTCATGATTATTTAGTCGTCGGGATATTAATCTTTTTAGTCGTCGAGATAATTAATTGTCTTTATCATCGAGATAATTAATTGCCTTTATCATCGAGATAATTAATCCTTCTCGAGGTATCGGTTAATGTTCGATGCATATGAAATAGAAACACGACGATAATACAGAATAAGCTCGGTGGAAAGGAAAAACTATTTCAATTAAGATCGGGCATTTTACAATTACAAAAAAAAAATACAGAATGAGCTCGAAAAATTTAGGCGTCGGTGTTCTGACTCCCTTGGCCTTCCTCGACATCATCTCCCTCAATATCGACGTCTTCATCCCCAGCATTTTCTTCAGACTCTGAGAGATGAAGGTCGTCAGCCACCTCGGGGATTGACTTCAGATCCTCAGGGCGAGCATCTGGCCTCAGGCGCATGAAAGCTCGAGCTTCCTTCAGGGCATGAAAGTAAGAGCCCATAGCATAGTAGCCCTTTAACTCGTTGAAGGCGTCAGACTTCTGAAAGTCCTCGACTGCGTCTTCCCGAGCATCGGCCAGCTTCGCATCAAAATCTTTTTTATATCGCTCGAGCTCGAGCTTGAAGTGCTCAGCCTCAGCCTTCGCACTACCGGCCTCACCCTGAGCACTGCGTAGATCATTTCGCATATGCTCGCGCTCCCTCAATAGCTGAGCACGCTCCTCCTCTAGGTCGGCGATCCTCAGATCCCGAGCAGAAATAGCACCCTCGAGGTTGGCCATTTTTGAAGACTCGTCCTTTTCCTTCAAGGAAAGACCTCGAGCTATTCCCAGTGTCTAAAAAATGGTGCATGTTACTTAACCTCGAGACGTAAAGATAACAAAAATAATATAAAAACAGCCGACGATCTTACCTTCAAGGCCATAGCCTCGAGCGCCCTCAAGCCATTGCTTAAGTCGACATCTGCCCGGTATTTGTCGACAATGCTGAGCACTGAGTGGCACCGAGAGCATCCCTCGGGATTAGTAGGCCTCGGAGGCAGGCACTCATCCTCGAGGTCGACCACGTCAACAAATTCCCGAGGAAGAGACTCCCGAGGAGTCCCCTGAAGATCCTGCTGCTGAGATCCCGTCCTCCCTATTCCGGGAGACGGTCCTCGGGGCCTTGACGATTCCCCAGGCCCACTGGTCTGCCTTTCTTGCCTCGCATCCTGAGGTCTCTTTTGGCCCCTCCTCTGGCCTGGAGCCCGAGCCTGGGGAGCCTTGGACTTCTT